TACCATCGTCGAACAAAACCTAGTCAGGATCCTTCCTTCAAAACAAGAAGATCTGTTACTTCAGAAAGGAGTCCTACAGAAGACCCTCTGACAATATGAATTAATGGAGGACCTTCTTGCGCTGGATTAAGTGGGCCTTTTCAATTAGTTGGGCTTCTCATGGACTAAGGTGTCCAGTCTTCTTTTGTGGATTTCCAACAAGTGACTGGGTACTCCTATGCTGACATACTCGTGGATCTAAATTGGCAGCGTATGGAGAATGAGTCGGTGGTTGCTAAGATTAAGGGAGAGTGGGGAGGATCCACTTGCTGTGGCTATGGAGGAGAAAAGAAAACAGGGGCTTGTGGCGGTCGCTAGAGGAAGAGAAGGATGTGGACTGCACTTGGATTTGGAGGTGGGGAAGGAGAAGGGCAGGGGCTGGTTTGCTCGGATCTGGAGGGAGAGGAAGGCAAGGGCTGGACGTTGGCTTGGAGATGGGGAGGAAATGTTGGTTGCTGGAGGAGAAGACAGGGGGGAGTTGGGACTGAGGCTTGGGATTGAAGAAGAGGAGGTATGGAGTTACTGGGTTCTGGATGAATGCAAAGGGGGAAAATGGGTTCAGTGGATTGTTGATGTGAAGGGGAGGAGGAGAGTTGCGGCTGGGAAGAAAGAGAAGAAACAGTATCTGCTTAGGGTTTCACACCCATGGTTTCACCCCCATGGTTCCACACCAATAAGCCAATACAATTTCATTTCAATTTTTCATTCTTCAATTATTCAATATTTCAAAAATCTGATTACAGAGCTCTTTTATAGAGCAATTACAATCCCACAAATCACTCTAACCAATTATTAACTTCCAAATCTAAACCTAATTTGAAATTCAAATCTAAACCAAAATTCAAAATTCGAAATTCAAATTAACTACTAAAAAAAACTGAAATAATTAAAGTTCAACTACAAATAAAGAAATGATATTCTTGTGCTCATCATTCTCCCCGGGTGGGAGAAAACTCGACTCCGTCGAGTTAGCTGCAGAAACTTATCATCTTCAATATACTCTGCCTGCATCTTAATCTGCCATCAGTTATTTTTTTACATCTCAAATCATTAGCTAGATTGCATTGTAAATTCACCATCTAAAATATTATCAAAATTCACTGTTGTATGGATGAATATATAGAAGTAGAGTAAAGTGAAAGAACTCTCATAAATAATAGGTTAGGATCAGGCTTATATTAGTGGACTGCCAATAACATGTGACTTCTTAATCAATCAATATTGAGAATAGAACTATGACCAAATAGATAATATAAATGTTGCTATTAATAGTTCAAGAGTTGGAAAAGCTCATAAATATCATGTCAAATCTTAAACAGCTATAAATAAACTGTATTGGACAAGTCCAAACCATCTAAAATATCAGCATTAATAATTTTAAATTATGTCCTGACTCCATATCATTAATTTTAGTTAACTATGTATTTATTCAAGTTAGATCACTAATTCCCCAATATATGACCAATGCGAATCAAAACAAAATGATGCAAATCAACTCAAATGAATATGTATGAAATGCAGACTCGAACAATACGATCAATGGCAGATGTAAACTCAACGAAGTATCTAACATGCATGACGTCCTCTATCAAATGGAATAATTAGGTGTTCCTTTGTTAAAATGCATAAAAAATTTTCTATCTTAACAGTGATGGTGAGGAACATGCAAGCAATTGTATGACGGAGGAGTGTTTTGTTGTGTTTAACAGAAGAGAGAATGAAAACACTCATGCTCAGACTTATATCCCTAATCAATATATTTTCCCAAAAAGGATCAATGTATGTGTCAGTGACGATTGAGACATTGCATGGGGGTTTGGCATCTGATATGGTAGTTATTTCACTATGCTCAATTTTGGATTCAACTTCCATATAGATATCTGAGGAATTTGCTTTCGGAACTAAATCAGGAACATGTTGGGTGTCATGTTTGTCCGGAAGGACTTCGTGGGGAACATCAACAACGTTTTCAATTACTGGAGTTGGTTCTGAAGGAGTTGGAGTTTCGATTTCAAGAACAACTTCAGGGATAACATCAGTGGACTCCGTGATCAAAGGGGTAGCTTGGGGAATAACCGGAGTGTTGTCATTGCATGAAACTTCAGTTAACTCCACAATTGTTGGGGTAGTTTCAGAAGGTACAGAAATGTATGGTTCTTCGATTATACTACCCTGGATTTTCTTGTCAGAGTTAGATTCTGTCAAATTTACTGCCTGAGTAACGGTTTCCTCAATAATAGATTTTGATTCCGTTATAGGCGGCTTATTAATTCTAACTCTAAACGGAGTTGTACAGACGGATGCAACGTGCCTATATCCTTGACAATTGTAACATTGCATTATTGGGCTAAGTTTGGAGAGAGATCTTTCTGACTTCTGATCCTTAGGATCGACTCTAGACCGGGAAGAACTAGGGTTAGGTCGACTCAGAGGCTGACTAGAGGTATTGGCACAGGAAAACTGGGAGGAATGAGTTTGACAATCCTGAGCCCTATGAGATTGGTGGAATTTGGCTTCATCTAACTCTTGAACTAAGGCGTAAGCTCTCTCAATGGTGTTTACTCTTGAACTAAGGCGTAAGCTCTCTCAATGGTGTTTACTCCTCTAGCAAAGAGTTCGGTTTGGAGGTCGCTTCTTAATCCAGCTCTAAATTTTGATAAGACTTTCGTTGGTGCCTCTAGTTCAATGGTGCTGCATCGAGTAAACAATTTATCAAATTGAGCAACGTACTCTTTTGCAGATTTGGTTTCCTGAGTAAGACAATGTCACTTATCTAGCAATCTATAAATAAACGATGGCGGAAGATATTTTCGTTTCAGCTCTTCGGCCATTTCTCGCCAAGTAAAAATTGGTAACTCACCTCTAATATGCCTTATCATTTCAAAGTTGGACCAATATTGGCAAGCGGGTCCGGTGAGCTTCATTGTGGCAAACTTGACTTTTTGGGATTCCGTCAGGGCGTACCAATCAAAGTAGAGATCCATGCTCTTCAGCCAGTCAAAGAAAGTTTCTGGGTCGAGCCTACCATCAAAGGTTGGTGGATCAGGCACGGGTTGAGGTGGGGGTCGATGAACTATGTATCCATGACCTTGCGGTGGGTATCCATAGCCTTGACCTTGTGGCGGCGGAGTTGTAATCCACATTTTTTTAAACCTCACTAATCTTTCGTGGGTTTCATCAATTAATGCTGCTAGTTCAGCGAATTTCTCAAGGAATTCGGGATCTGTGTTACCTGACAGGCTGGACTCACTAGATGATTCACTAGACTCTCCTAATCAGGGTAGATCTGTGCGAGTGGACATGCACTAACAATTAGATGAGATGAATGGTGTGCACAAACAACTAAATGAGATGAATGCATTTTTTTTATCAAATAAAAGATTCAACTAAAAAAATTCCTACCCTAGAACCATGCTCTGATACCAAAACGATGCGAAACGAAATAGGGGGTCCATCAGAATCAGCGATTTAATTCGAATAATACAACGTTTCGCCAAAATTCATAATATTCTGTAGGAAATTAATTAAAGCAGTTAATGCGACAGATGGATTTTAATAAGATTTGATATGATAATCATGAACAATTCCAATCTCAAATATTTTAATTGCAATATTAATTATCATTTCGCAAGTTCCACAATCAATATCAAAATTTCAGCAGTCACATGTTCAGTACTCTCAACTCACAATATAATTTAAGCAGTAAATATATGATAATAATTTAGAGATGTAATACGCATGCAATTAACCGACAATTATGAGATTAACAGAAAATTATTGAGGGAAATTGATACCATCGTCGAACAAAACCTAGTCGGGATCCTTCCTTCAAAACAAGAAGATCTGTTACTTCAGAAAGGAGTCCTACAGAAGACCCTCTGACAATATGAATTAATGGAGGACCTTCTTGCGCTGGATTAAGTGGGGCTTTTCAATTAGTTGGGCTTCTCATGGACTAAGGTGTCCAGTCTTCTTTTGTGGATTTTCAACAGTGACTGGGTACTCCTATGCTGACATACTCGTGGATCTAAATTGGCAGCGTATGGAGAATGAGTCGGTGGTTGCTAAGATTAAGGGAGAGTGGGGAGGATCCACTTGCTGTGGCTATGGAGGAGAAAAGAAAACAGGGGCTTGTGGCGGTCGCTAGAGGAAGAGAAGGATGTGGACTGCACTTGGATTTGGAGGTGGGGAAGGAGAAGGGCAGGGGCTGGTTTGCTCGGATCTGGAGGGAGAGGAAGGCAAGGGCTGGACGTTGGCTTGGAGATGGGGAGGAAATGTTGGTTGCTGGAGGAGAAGACAGGGGGGGAGTTGGGACTGAGGCTTGGGATTGAAGAAGAGGAGGTATGGAGTTACTGGGTTCTGGATGAATGCAAAGGGGGAAAATGGGTTCAGTGGATTGTTGATGTGAAGGGGAGGAGGAGAGTTGCGGCTGGGAAGAAAGAAAAGAAACAGTATCTGCTTAGGGTTTCACACCCATGGTTTCACACCAATAAGACAATACAATTTCATTTCAATTTTTCATTCTTCAATTATTCAATATTTCAAAAATCTGATTACAGAGCTCTTTTATAGAGCAATTACAATCCCACAAATCACTCTAACCAATTATTAACTTCCAAATCTAAACCTAATTTGAAATTCAAATCTAAACCAAAATTCAAAATTCGAAATTCAAATTAACTACTAAAAAAACTGAAATAATTAAAGTTCAACTACAAATAAAGAAATGATATTCTTGTCCTCATCAGTTGTATTGAATTTTAAAAGCACAAAGGCTTAGATCTCTATGTGGTTTAAACTATTTTCTTAAAGTTCTCATGTTTTTAGCTTGGGAGAAAGCATGTTAAATCAATTTTCTACTCTGAAAAGAATTGGGGTACTTGTGATTGCATGCATTCATATGAGAACTGCAAACTAGTAAGAAAGAAACATGAACTCCAAAATTATCTTGTACACTACAGGATGGCAAAGAGGAAGTTATCCAAGCCTGGTACATGGGCGACAGTGATGAAGACCAGAGACTTCCTCATCATCGTGAACCCAAGGAATTTATCCCATTGAACAAACTTTCAGGTTTGCATCCTTGTTTTCATTTAAAATTTTTCTCATGCGCACTTGAGAGGCGACATTAATTTATTTACTTGGATGAATTGTGTTCTATTGGTAGAACTTGGTGTTGTTAGCTGGCGTTTGGAGGGTGGTGATAACCATGAAGAAGACGAAAAGCTGAAAAAAATTCGTGAAGCCAGGGGTTACACTTATGTGGTTAGTCTTCTATGCTAAACTTTTATTCGCCATAGTATGACGATATGCGTTAGAACCATTAGATAGGCTTAACTTATTTATTAATATTTGTTTCATAGGATATTTGTGAAATCTGCCCAGAGAAGCTCCCAAATTACGAAGCCAAGTTAAAGAGTTTCTTTGAGGAGCACCTGCACACTGATGAAGAGATCCGTTATTGCCTGGAAGGAAGCGGTAACAATCATTTACCTTGGGCTCCTCAACTAACAAAACTACATGCATTATATAGAAGGATTTGTAATTATCTTTTTTTTTTTTTTTTTGGCAAAGGTTATTTTGATGTGAGGGACGAAGGTGACTGCTGGATTCGGGTGGCACTGAAGAAAGGAGGCATGATTGTGCTGCCTGCTGGAATTTATCATCGATTTACTCTAGATACAAATAACTACATCAAGGTACTTTATGGTTGCTTATTGCATACCACTTCAGTTTGCTACTTAAATGAGGATCTGTTTGTAATGATATTGTCACCTATTAGATGGCTAGATTGTTTTCTTTTCTGCAATTATTTAATACCACTTAATGCTTGGATACTGTAGATTTTAGTGCCAAGATCTATACTTGTGAAGATTATCTTGAGGTTGTTATTTGTGATGCCTGGCTTAAAAGAATGATTCATAAAACTTACCTTAATATTGAAAGCTGGTTTTGGATACAATTGTGTGCTAAGGATGAGATCTTCATTGGTTAGTGTACTTTCGGGAGCTTCAAAGTCTTATTGCGAACCATGCGATTATAAATTCTCACTTGATTCTCTTCTGGGGATTTCTTATAGGGTTAATTGGGAATAGACCCCTGCAGTATTGCCCAGTTGCAGATAGCCCCCTTGTAGTTCTATTTGTGCGAATAGAACCTGAGTGAATTTTTTCACTCTTAAAATAGTCACAGGTTTTGAGGAGGTGGATAGACCGCTTATAGTTCAATTGGTGGGATAGATCTTCAATTGTCAATTTTTTTGACTTGTAAAGAGTCGAAGAAGTTCACTAAAGGGGTTTATTTGCACGGGCCAATACTATAAGAGGTGAATCAACACCTATGTTACCTGGGTACTTCTATTCGGAAGTCGTACCCGACATGAACCCGTACTCGTACCCGTACCCAAACTTCTTGCACACTTCTTGAATATATTCATAAGTTCATTAGGCATATACTCAAATGTATAATACATATTTTAATTTAAAACACTCATCATTCACTTCTTGGACATATATTTCACAGTTCACATCTATTTCTTATATATTAATCTCATATAAATGAAAAAACAATATTGATCTTATATAAATTATTAATTTGACACATAAATATACCTAACAGACATAGATATAGCCTTATCCCAATACCCTACCTTTTACAAATTTGATGTGTCTCGTACCAGTACCCGTACCCATACACATGCAACTTAGATCAACCCTAATAGAGCTAAAGGGGATCTCTTCGCAATTGGATGATACTAGAGGGGTCTATTAGCAATTAACCGTTTTCTTATAAGAGTTGTTTTCTATATAGACAAACATGTTCTTTAGGTAAATATGTTTGTTAGGAGAAGATGACTAAAATAAATTTTCTGATATAATGTCTAATTATGAATGTGTTTAGATTTAGTTTGAGCTTTAGTCTCCTAACTAATATTATATCATTTGTGCAGGCTTTGCGTCTTTTTGTGGGCGAGCCTGTGTGGACCCCCTATAACCGACCCCATGATGAGCTTCCTGCGAGGTAAATCAAGTATCTATATTCTTGTAACTACCTAGTACTTTTTTTTAGCATTTTCATTTCGGAATTCTTTGTGTTTTCTGAAAATGGTTCTTGTATTGCAGAAAGGAGTACCTTGAAGCTTTCGTGAACAAAGAAGTCAAAAACTCTGCTGTTACAGCTCATTGAAGTCATCCGTGTTTTGTTGAAAAAAAAAGTATTGCTGAAAAAAAATATTAATTCATGTACTTCCTTGATCTTGTATGCTAATTTGGATTTGCTGGAAAAAAATGTACTGCTGGAAAGAAAAATAATATATGTACTTCTAAGCTTGAATGCTTGTTGGATTTGCTGGGCTTGATGTACAAGATGTGCTCCGAAAATAATAAAAAGTACGTTATCTATACTCGTTATGTGTGTTTTCAATTACTGAGTTATTCTCTTTTGCCAAATATTGTTAACAGCAAGCCATCAGTGTGCACTTTTTACATGTACATTGCTCATCCCTCACGTTTCATGAGCTGTATTCAGGTGTGTGATAACAGCAGCACCTTTTGCAATGGAAATGAACGAGTCTAGCGTATTGAGCACTTCCCTTTCTATATTAATTAAAGAAAGAAAAAGCTCTATAAGGGCGAATATTGTTGTATTTATAAACATCATTTTTTTCAAAGCATGGTATGAATGTCTGTGAGATGGGTGATCTAGGCTCTTGATTAGTGGTTGTACATGTTCGAAAAAATGATTCCAATTGTAAAACTGAATCTGTAGTATTTCTTGCATATTTTTATATGTATCAAAGATGAGGATGTTTCGATTTGATCAAAGGAACGATTGATGAATGTAATGTGTTTCTTGATCTGTCGTCAACTGTCAGATGATTGATTCAAAATTTTGTCCAGTCGACACTTTTCAGGGGCAAGACTGGGTTCAGTTCTACTTTCTGCTTGCTTTCTATTAAATCTTGCTCTGCAGGTTTCTTGCATCTTCTATGTAACCTTTAATAATGAAGTAGGAAATAGAAGCAATTGGTTCAACGTACATGAAAACTTCTTATATTGGCTACACATGATCTACTTCATCACAACACCGTGAACACGGTCGAAGAGAGCGCACGCAGATTACCAACTCATTATGAATCTCTCATCTGTTAGAACGAAAGAGAAGTTAGGGAAGAGCTAGACTTTGCCAATACTTGAAGTTGCAGCTTTTAAATTGATGGTAGAGCTATCGATTTCCTAGTATCTTATGTGAGTGGGGTCCACCTTTCCCAAGTGAAGCGATAGTAGCAGCTGGAAAAATCTGTCCATCTTCACACGTGAAGAAATAGATGGGGGCGTGAAAGGTTTCATGTGGGGACCATGCGCGTGGCTGGATTTCACCACGAGTTTAGCTACAAAGGGCGTGGCCACATCTCCATTCGTTTTCGTTTAGCAGGCCCACCCGAAAGAAGCCATCCTATAAATACCTCAGCAATTTCTCCCTAGGTTGTTGTGCAAGCAATAGGAGGGACTTCTGATTTGGTGGCTGCAGCGGCACAAAAGCAGCAGTGCGGAGAAGAAGAAAAAAAATATTCGGCTCTCTCTTTTAGGGATTTGTGTGGGTTTTTTGTGCAGCCGTCTTTTAGGGTTTTAGCATCCCCTTTTGTGAGAGGTTTAAGAGATTGTGTGAGGGTTTAGATTGTTTGATTGTAAACTCTATTTGTATTCTCCCTCTATTAGTAGATCTTCCCCCTCCTTACCCCGTGGACGTAGGAAATTTGCCGAACCACGTTAAATTTGTGTTCTTGTTGTGATTTGTAATAGCTTGTAGGTTCCCTCGATAGGTCAGTCCTAGAACTGATGAGAGGAATAGTTGATATCTCACTTTGTTGAGATATTTTGCTTTCGATTCTTGTTTCCTTTGTGAAACAGGGATTTAGTTGTTGATATCTCACTTTGTTGAGATATTTTGCTTTCGATTCTTGTTTCCTTTGTGAAACAGGGATTTAGTTGAGATCTACTCTCTTGTTGTGCTGCCGAAGCTTTCGATTCTTGTTTCCTTTGTGAAACAGGGATTTAGTTGAGATCTACTCTCTTGTTGTGCTGCCGAAATTTCCGCTACGCACAACAAGTGGTATCAGAGCTCCGAGTTGGACTTGGGAGCTTGTTCGAAGGATTCGCTGTTGGATTTTTATTTGAAGAGTTAGATCGACAACATGGGAGATCAAGCACATCCGGTTTGTCTCTTACGAAGACGATACATAGTTTGAGCATCAATAACATGAAGATTGATGTTCTGAAGTTCGATGATAAGATCAATTTCAGTTTGTGGAGGTGCCAGGTGATGGATGCGTTGGACGCTCAAAACTTGGAGCAGACTCTTGAGTTGCAAGAGAAACCTGCTGATATGAAAGAAAAAGTTTAGAAGAAGATGAATAGTAGGGTGTGTGGAGTTATTCGGTCATGCTTGACGTCGGATCTTATTTATGATGTGATGAACGAGACGTCGGCGAAGAAGATGTGGGAAACACTCAATAAAAAGTATCTTACTAAGAGCATTGAGAATCGGCTTCACTTGAAGAAGAGGTTTTACCAGTTTAATATAAAGAGGGGAGTTTCCATTAGGGAGTATGTTAACAACTTCACAAAGCTACTTTCAGACATGGCCAATATGGATATCATGGTTAAGGATGAAGACAAGACGATGCTACTTTTGTGTTCGTTGCCCGAGGATGATTATGATACTTTTGTCCTAACTATGATTAATAGAAGAACTACTGTTAGTTACAAGAAGGTGACCTCAGCGTTGATGAATTATGAGTTGAGGAAGAGTGTTGATGAGTTCTCCGAGAAGGCATTAGGAGATGCATTAGTAGTTCAATGCCGTGGTTCAAACCAAAGAGGTCGCAGTCTAGAAGTGCACATCGTAGGATTCGTAGGAATCAGTGTGCTTTTTGTAAAGAGGATGGACAATTAAAAGCTGAATTCCCAAAGTTAGATCGAGCCGAGAAGAATAAGGGAAAAGCTGTACAAGCTTCAGAGGTGTAGATCGAGCCGAGAAGAATAAGGGAAAAGCTGTACAAGCTTCAGAGGTGAATGTTGTCAAGACTAGTGGCAACAATTCAGATTGAAAAGCTGTACAAGCTTCAGAGGTGAATGTTGTCAAGACTAGTGGCAACAATTCAGATTTGGATTCTTCAGGCTATTCGTTATCCGCACTACCATCAGTTTGTGATTCTGACTCTATGGAGTGGATGTTAGATTCGGGTGCTTCTTACTATGTTTGCCCTAGGAAGGATTAGTTCCCCGGCTTTCAGGAGTTGGAAAGAGAGGATGCTGTGCTCATGGGTAATGGACATGCATGCTCTATTGGTGGTATTGGTACTGTTCGGATTAGGATGAGTGATAGGATGATGCGAGAGTTGGATGATGTGAGGTTTGTTCCGTAATTAAAGATGAACATCATTTCACTTGGAGCTTTGGAGGTAGCAGGCTATAGGGTGACCTTGGTCGATGCACGCTTGAAGGTCACATTGGGGTCCATGATTGTGATGAAGGGCGTCAGAAGGAGCAATTTGTGTTATTTGCTCGGAAGCACGGCGATTGATAGAGAGCTGACGACTTCATCAGATTCGGCTAGACTGTGGCGTTGTTTGATGTTGGGTTATTTGATTGGTAATGTCGTGCATAGGTTGTTGAGGAGTGTTTTGACCTGCAGTTTGAAGTCCTTTAAGCACATTGGTATGAGCAAGAAGATCGAGATAGAGTTTGGTACTTTTATCCATCGATCTAGGGGTCTTTTAGGTGGTGTTCAGTTAGGCATTTGGGGGCCTTCCAAGGAGGCATCATTAGGAGGTAATCGGTATTTGGTTTCCACAGTTGGGAATTGTTCTAGGCATTGGTGGGTTGCAACCAAGTCCCGTTGGTTTGAAGTCCTAGAAGCCCGCAACAGATGGAGGAAGTGTGTTGATAGAAAGGTAACCCGACGTTCTAATTATGGTAGGGGTTCTTTCTTGCGTTTGTGCCGAGCTCACGGCAATAGGAGACACTTCATTGGTGTGAACTCTTTGAGATGACGTGATGAGATGGTAAATTTGGGGAGCTGTTCCTTTCTGAAGAAGGATCGGCGTTTGATGTCGAGCATTGACATTGGTGTGCGGGCTACGACTTGTTTGGGTCATCTTATGTATAGGTTACCGACTGCTGCATGTAGACATTTTGAATCTGGTGGAGCTGCTTCAGATTTTAGGATGCATTGGATGTTTGGCTACCCAGCACTTGGTCACATCGTGGATGTGAGATTTGATCCGATAGCACATTTGGGATTCAGAGGTGTGTTTGATTATCAGGTATTAGCTTCTGACTTTGTTCTAAGCAGGTATGTCACGTTTGACTCTCGGCAGGTGGAGAGTAGTGATCAGATCATTGGGACATCGCAACGGGTGGAGAGTGATGCTACTCCACGTTGGGTGGAGACTCCAGATCATACTGCATCATTTGGGATTCTAGCTGATGTGACACAGATTGGAAATCATGTTGTTTTGGATGCAGATGATAGGTTGATTGATTCGACTGCAGCTGATAGATGTAGTCTGGATATGGCCAGTGGTTCATCTCAGATGGAGGTGTTTGGATTGTTTCAGTTTGGGGCCATTGGAGGTGCTATCAACCGTAGAGTTGATGATATTTGAGAAGAGTTGTGAACTCTTCTAGTGGATTGAGGCCTTTGGAGGCCATTTGGATGAACTACGTAAGGCTTGATTCCTTGGGCAATAGGATACGTAGGCAGTCAGTTTTGATGCAGCCGATTTGGTGAGTAGATACCGACGTTTGGGAGAGTGTTCGCACTCTCGTTTGGGTCTCGACTTGTTATGGATTGAGTCCGTTATCGTGAATCGTTCCACTTCATACTGAACACAACAAGTGGGACATTTGAATGCTTTGGTGTCAGCTCAGTTTTGGGAAAACTTTGCCGATGTGGAGAATTGTGAGTGGGGTCCACCTTTCCCAAGTGAAGAGATAGTAGCAGCTGGAAAAATCTGTCCATCTTCACACGTGAAGAAATAGATGGGGGCGTGAAAGGCTTCATGTGGGGACCACGCGCGTGGCTGGATTTTACCACAAGTTTAGCAGCAAAGGGCATGGCCACATCTCCGTTCGTTTTCGTTTAGCAGGCCCACCCGAAAGAAGCCATCATATAAATACCTCAGCAATTTCTCCCTTGGTTGGTGTGCAAGCAATAGGAGGGACTTCTGATTTGGTGCTGCAGCGACACAAAAGCAGAAGTGCGGAGAAGAAGAAAAAAATATTCGGCTCTCTCTTCTAGGGATTTGTGTGGGTTTTTTGTGCAGCCGTCTTTTAGGGTTTTAGCATCCCCTTTTGTGAGAGGTTTAAGAGATTGTGTGAGGGTTTAGATTGTGTGATT